CTCTACTCCATGGCCAGGAATTAATATTTTCTTAGGAAGCAGACATTATGGAGCATAAGAATAAAAACCATCAGGTTTGGGATCCAGTGCACGAGGTCTGAATCCCAGCTCTGCCCTTTTTCAGCCATGAGGTTCTGGGCAAACCTTTCATCTGCCTCAAACTCAGCTTCTGTGTCTGTCATCCATTCACTTGACAACGATCTACTGAGTCTAGGCACAGGCCCCACAGTGTCCTGGGTGCGGAAGGTATGAGGGAGAAGGAAACAGAGTCCCTGCTGGAGTGGGAGGAGTTGGGGGAGAAGACGAACAAATGATACATGAGCTGCAAGAGCCAAGGAAAAGGGCAGAGAGAGTGTCTGGGAAGACAGGCGTGTGCTACTTCCAGAGGGTGTTCCAGGAAGGTCTCTCCCAGGGTGGCACCTGAGCAGGACTCACGTGAGGGTGGGGCTGCAGCTTTGGGTAACCTGGAGAGAACCATAGGCCCACCTGACAGTTACTGTGAGGACTAAGTGATATCGAGATACAAGATCTAGCATGTAGTACAGTGTAAGCACTCAACTGATGGCAGCTAGTCTTAGGATTTGTTTTAGTTGTGAGGCAGGTTTGGATCAAATCCACTGAAAAACTTGAACTCGTTACATCTTCATTTGGGAGAAGGTTATGACAAGTCAAAGCTCGGGAGCACACAACTTCTAGACTCTATAACAGGCAAAAAAAGCAAATTCCGATCTGGCCCTGGTTCTCAGGGCATTGGCAGCTAACCACAATGAGGAAAATAACACCTCCAGGCTCAGTCTGTAGGGCGAAGTCTGCTAAGTGTGAATTCTTACCACCAGCTCCCATCCCAACCTGACAAAGTCACCTGAGCAACTTCCTGTTGCCTAGAAAGGGCTCTGAGAGCCATTTCCCCTGGGTATTTGAGGGTGGGGGAAGAAGGGCATGGGGGATCTTGCTAAGCGCTAAGTGGATCTATACAAGACCTCAATGTTTTTGTTTCTCCATGCTCAAGTTAGGGATCTGGAAACTCAAGATGTGTGAATGTGTGAG